CACCAACCTCAAATCTGCCGGGACACTGCCTTTAAGAGAACTTATTGTTAGTAGGGAAGTGGGATAGTCAAACTCACCAATGATTTTGTCAGCTTTTGCCATTCTAATTTCAAAGCACCTCGCTGAATGTCGTGCTCTTTTCGCCTAGCATCAAGAGCCTGAAGTTACACATTTCACATTGCGCTTCATAATCTAAAGAACTTATCACCTCAACAACTCGAGATTTTAGATGATCTGTAGTCTCCTTGGTCCTGCCAACGAGGTCGATGTCGCTATCAAAGCTACTTTCAAACACATCCCGAAGAGGCATGAAGGGCTGAAAAAAACAAGTTAATATTGCTATCTGCAAGCTCAAGATAGAGATAAGATTTTTCTGCCTGCCTTTCAATACAGTTGCGGTTGTGAATAATACGCTACAGTTCCTTCAAAAACCGAGATACCGATTTTTTTTCGTTCGAAAAACTCTACTAATATCTATTCCACAATTTTCAAATTGAGCAATTCTACTCAAGTTTTTTTCCAAGAGGTTTTACCCTACATAACCACGTATGAAGCAGATTTATCGCAATAAAGCCAGAAAAGGAGTAGCCAAATGTCGCTTTGCCCTTTTCTTGCCTTGGGATCCTCCCACAAGCATAGGTGTATGGTAAGTGAAAAGTAGATTTACAGTTCAACTCTTACAAACTCTTGTTAGTCGAATTATTTTTGTAAAAAAATTTACAAAATTTCGCCAAACTTTCAAAATAGCCCAATATGTACCTTGGCGATATCTCTCCGGCATGCTTCCACTAAAGCAGTGACACGACGAGCATGATCTTGCTCGAGTTGAAGGCGAGATCGAATGTAGGAAAGCAGGTCTTTTGAGTAACTGAAAAAGGATATCGCTCCATAAATCATTGTCATTCAAGGACGTCGGCGAGATTGAAGTTACTTGGTGAAGGTACATGATAATTGCAAAAATGTCGCAAATACCGTATTTTGTAACTATGACTTTTTCTCAAATAATATCATTAACTTTCTCACTGAAACTTCGAAATCCTACTAACTTCACTTGATTGTATAGCTATTTATTAAACGGTCCAACGATGCGTTTGATGGAAAAGTGAAAACAAACACTAAAAGCTTAACTTACGTGCTCCATGCTTTCGTCCTTTCGAAGGCAATTTCAAGCCCATCAATACGATCATTCAAAATCCGATCAAGATCCATCAACTGGTTATGTTCATCTGAAGACTTAAAGTTAACAAAAAGCAAGGTTGATTAGGTAGAATCAAGCAAGACAGCAGAATTAACTCTTAAGATCTGTCCTTAAAAACGAATGAAT